AGGACACAACGCAATGATGCCTGGTACAAGGGGTGTGGTATCATGTTTGAAATAAAAAGCATCATCTGGCAGCAGAGAGTCACTCTTACCACAAACTGCAAAGAAACACAGAAGCAAAATACACTGATGAACAAATTTCCAGCCAGAGGGCGAAGCAAGGTTCAAAACAAGATTGATTTGTGACACTGGTGATAAATGGACAAAAAATGAATGTAGCTCCCTCCCTGATGTTTGGCTTAAGTTTCCTTCCCTTTCTCTCCTAGATGCTTGTTATTGCCAGTATTTGGAGTAGCTTCTCCTCTCTCCTTGCATGGTCCTTTCTTAGTATCTTGTGCCTTGACTCAGAGTGACTCCTCACTGGGTCAGATACACAGGGGAGCTATGCCTTGAGAAATCCATGATCATACTACAAACTGGAAAAGAGCATGATACCCAGGACAGAGGGGACTATAAGGTTAATAAAATACACAACAGTAAAGGAATGCTACACCCAAACTAGCAGCATAACAAAAGGGGGTGACTTTACTGAGAACAGGAAAATAAAATCTGAGGAAGGAGTGGGTTAAGGTTAACGAATAATTAATAAACATTCATAATTATGCAATTTATGCTGATTCCCCACCTCCTAACACTGCACCAACTCTCCAAACCCCAGCTCCCTCCCTGCACTGTCCCAAAGGAAAGGGTACAGTAGAGGTTGCATCTCCTGAGATGGAGCGTTGCTGGGTCATTGGCTGGCTTAAACAAAAGTCACCTTATTTTTTCTCCACCTCTGAGTGGGGCAGGTTCCTCTCCTGACTCCAACCAAGCTCACTGGTTCCCTGGTCGGAGATTCTTCAGGCATCTCGGATGGTTCTTAGTAGCCAGTGCGGGATTGGATCTCTCTCTCTCTGCCACATACTTACTGGTCACTGCAGTGCTGGAGCTGCGTGGTCCCTGCAGCTAGAGGCTCAGAGCAGTGCAAATTCTCTTTGTGGGGAAGGGAATTAGCAGGAACTCCCTGAGCCATGCTGTGTCTCTCCCAGCTTCCAAACTGAAGCTGTCTTCTTCAACAATCTGTTGTCACTCCTTCCCCAGTTAACTTGCTGGGCTGCTCATCCAACTACTCACCCCATGCAGAAGTTTCCCTAAGTTGCTCCAGAAGGGGGTTTCTAGTCTCTTCTGGCCCCAGCCCTTCCTCCAAGTATGCTGGGAAGGGAGCCAGGGGGCTTGGGTACCCCTCTTAGCTCTACTTTTATTGGTCAGGCCATCTAGAGCACCAGTCCCCAAACTTTTGAGGGTCACGCCCTCCCCCCCATCCCTGTCTGTGCCATTCCCAGAGCTGGGCCAGGAGCAGGACTGCGGCTTCAATGGGGGGAGGGGTGCAGACAGAGGTAAGGGGGCTGATGCTGGGAGCAGGGTCATGGCCAGGGGCCGTGGCTGGGGGCAGGAGCGGAGCCGCAGCTGGGCTGTGGTGGGGGCTTGCACCCAGGACCATGGCCAGGTGCGGCTCTGCTAGGGTGACCAGGCAGCAGATGTGAAAATTGGGATGGGGGTGGCGGGTAATCGGAGCCTATATAAAAAAAAGACCCCCAAATCGGGACTGTCCCTATAAAATCGGGACATCTGGTCACCCTAGGCTCTAATTCTGGCCTCACCCTCAGCCTTGGCCCTGGGCCAGGAACAGAGCCGTGGCTAGCAGCCGAGGCTGGGGGTAGGAGCAGGACTGGAGCAGAGCTTGGGGCAGGGAGGGGCTGGGAGGCGCTTCCTCCCCACCCCCATGGCAGCACCCCGTCTTTGTAATATAGAACACATGAAACCACCCATATTTGATTGTGCTTTCACCACCCCCATGGGGGCTGGCCCAGGCCCTGCATCCCCCTGGGGGGCTGGCCCGGGCCCCGCCACATCCCCCTGGGTATTCCTCCATTTCCCCCCTAGGCGGGTGCACCCCTAATCTAGAGGCTCAAACCAGAGCTCTAGAATCTTGAAAACCCCAAGTGGGTGTTACATGAATTTCAGAATAGATACTGTAACTGTAGGATCGCTAGTGTTAATATCCAGGTTGGTATTATAATTTGATACTGTTTCATATAACACACACCTAGGGCATGATCCGGTGCTCATCTGAGTTAGTGGGAAGATTCCAGTTGAGTCCAGTGGGTTTGAGATCAGGCCCAAAATAAGGCCATGTGGCAAAGTTACACAAGTATGTCGGTATAAGGACAAAATCCATTCAATATAGTTTAAAATAGTGACTATTTCACTATTACTGTATTGCAACAGGTGTTCCTATGTGTACTTGCGCTCAAAAGTAGGCTGAAGAACTAGATGTTGTTTAATAGAAGTATAAACCTGGTGAAAGCACAATCAAATATGGGTGGTTTCATGTGTTCTATATTACAAAGACAGGGGTGCTGCCAGGGAGCAGGGGCTTCCAACTACAGGTGGAAGGGGTGGGGCAGGGCTCTCACTTGCTCTGGCACAGGGCCCCACAAACCCTTAATCCGCCTCTGTACAAGATATTCTGGGCTCAGTTTCTCTCTCTCAGGACCCAGAGAATTCTTCTTAAATGAGTTTGAAGAAGCTGCGTCATTTAGTGTGTCATTTCATTTTTCAAGCATCCCTGAGCTGAGCTGGCGGATATTGTATTACAATCAAATATTATTTAAAAAAAAAACAAGAGAAACCAAGGAACAGAATTTATTTTGTTTTTATTCATTCCGGTGATTAAAAAAACCTGTTTTTGTTCCTATCTCACAGATCGAAGCTATTTTCCCCTCACTGTCTGGCTGGAGGAGTCAAAGCTGGAGGCAGACACTGTACAAGAGCGCCCCCCTCTCTGTCATCTCTTTCCGACACCCTCTTCCTCCCAGGCGGTTAATGGGGTAATATTATGCGAGGTGTATCTGTGATCTCCAAGAGTTGTGCACTATGCATCTATTAAAGAAACTGGATGGAAGCTTGTAACAAATCCACCTATAGCAAGAACCACCACACCAGTACAAGACAAATTACACACACCGGTGGAGCTGGATAAAGCCCAAGGTCATTCTCCAAAGACAGATGCCTCTCTACTCAAGGACATCTCCCCTTGCTAGCTGTCCCTTGTCCTCCCTGTGGGCCAGCCATTAGTGGGTGACATAACACTCATGTGCTTTACATGCACAAAGGGCTTGATTCCCCCCACACAGTGCAGGTGCAGAATGTTGCACAAGGTAAAAAAGGAGGAGCAGGATAGGAGCACAGGGAAACACGGTCCTATATCGTTGTGTTGCTGCTGAGGTCCCCAAGCTACTCCTGCCTCCCAGAGTTGCAAAGTGAAAACCAGGACATCTGCCATGGGGCATGAATGAGGGGGTGGTTTTGGTCAGTCTCAAGGAGGTGTGCATCAGAGGGTGAAAAGCGGGAGCCCACTCCTCCTTCACAGCCAGGCAGCCCCACCCTTTGCTAGTGTCCTGTGGGACTAGCTATGTGTGTGGGATAGGGATGGTTCAAGCAGTTGATTGCAGAGCATTGGGGGCTTGGAAGTGGAGCTGGTAGGATGTCCACACATGAGAAGGCTAGTGGAAGGGCTCTTATGCAACTCTCGCTAGCCCAGCTGCTAACTGGCTCCTTCACGTGGCCAGTTCACCAGGGGGTGGTTACAAAAATCAGGACAAAACAACCAACAGGGCTTGGGGGGGGGGGGGAAGGGGATGTTTGCAGTATTGTCAACATCAAGGGATCAAAGATCATGATCTGTCCAGGACTCAGCAGCACTTCCGCAGCCCCCCTCTCACTGTCCTGAGACTTCTCTGCCCCCTTCTTTCCTTCTGCTGCCCTGGGACTTGGCAATACTTCCCTGTCTTTCCCCTGCCTCCTGCTGCTCCAGGACTTCTCTGTTACCGGACCCCCAGCAGTGCTGTCCTGGGAAGTGTGACCAAAGTGGGTCCTGGGCAGAGGACAATCCCCAGGCAGCAGGAGGCAGGGGAGAGGAGTCAGAGAAAAGCCGCTGTTGCTGTTGTGTAGGGGCAGCCCTGATCGTTGCGGGATCAGAGGAGCTTCTTGCATCATTGCGACAGTGGAGTCCCAAGATTCGCGAGCCAGTCATGAGAGTTGGCAATGCTGCCTTTGTGATTTCCTGGGACCCAGGGTTATGGTGGCAAGGCCTGTATGGCAGCGCTGGGTGATGTGATCCCTGTGTTTAGTGTAGGTAAGGTTTGGGAAGCCTGTTCCCTTTCGCTCTCACATGGGCTTCTCTTGCAGGGACATTAGAGAGACAAGGTGGGTGAGGTAATATCTTTTACTGCAGGGGGTCTCAACTTTTTTTTTCTGAGCCCCCTTCTCCCCCATGCTATAAAAACCCCATAGGGAGGGATAGCTCAGTGGTTTGAGCATTGGCCTGCTAAACCCAGGATTGTGAGCCCTATCCTTGAGGGGGCCACTTAGGGATCTGGGGCAAAATCAGTACTTGGTCCTGCTAGTGAAGGCAGGGGGCTCGATTCAAGGTCCCTTCTAGCTCTAGGAGATAGGATATCTCCATTATATATATATTTTACCACAAAAGCCAGGGCCGGTGTTAAGGGGTAGCAAGCAGGGAAATTGCCCAGCGCCCCACGGAGCACCGTGAAGCTGAGTTGCTCAGGCTTCAGTGCCAGCTCCAGGTGGTGGGGCTCAGGGCCCAGGCTGCAGTCCTGCGCAGCTGGGCTTCAGCTTTCTGCTCTGGGCCCTAGCGAGTCTAATGCCGGCTATCCTTGGCGGCCCCCCTAAAACCTGCTCGCGGCCCCCCAGGGGACCCGAGACCCCTGGTTGAGAACCACTGTGTCATTGGATCAACTTCTTGCTGCAGGTGTGGGTTTCCCCTCTGCATGCAATATCAGGTTGCTGACTCTAGGGGTCAGCAGTGGGCCGGTGCCTTAGGCTGCGCTCTCTATGGCCATGCTACGTCATTTGTAGAACCCCGCCCCTAAGATACGAAGTTTGCGCAGGACTCTCCTCCTGCCCAGTTCTCGCAGAGCTGCCCGGCCGCCAGCTTTCCCCTTACGGAGTTTGCGTAACTCTTCCCTCGCTCCCCTGATGTCCTGCCGTACTGAGTTTACGCAGCTTGCGTACAGGGTGTGCGCAGTGGCCGAGTACGGTGCGGCCCGGGGCGCCGCACACTGCCACCGCCTTTCCCTGCCTCCGCGGCGGCGCTTCGCGGGCGGGGCTCTGCCTGGGGTGAGCGATCCCCGCGGCCCGGCGCTACGCGAGGCCCGGGCGTTAGGCCGCGCCGGGAGGCCCCATTTTCCGGGGGTGGGGGGCAGGGCGTG